GTCAATGATTGATCATGTGATTAAACATAACTTGACTAATAATCGGTCCTATTCTCATGGATTTATGAGAAACTAGTCGACAAAAAGTCATTTGCATTAGGTGTTCTTGTTAGTTCTCGTTAGTGTTTAGGACTGAAAAGTGTTCAGCATTTTCATGTTATATGTGAATCATGTGCGAGCTGTGATATGAAACGTTGATTGTTGGTTGCAGTATCCCAGAGTGTCTTCATATGATATAAAAACCACACATTCCACACTTCGCTTGCATGTCTTCCGTCAGTTGATTCTTACTAACTTCATTATTCGTTTATTCCAGATGAGTTCAACTGTGTCCAGTGTGAGGCAGTAACCTACCAGAAACAATGGTAAATGGTTGTGCAATGTCGTGAATCGGTTGAAGTTAAACGTGAACACCATTGATTGCTACTCAGTGGCAAGAGACTGAACGTCCTCGCAAGACTGAAGGTCTTAGATTCGATTTCTGCTTTCATGATTGTCAATAGGTACTGTTATGGGGTCTTGTAATACAACAAACAGGCTTCTGAATGATTCCGGGTTTTTAATACAGTTCGAACATTTATCGGTCCATGATTTCAATAAAAAATCATATATTTTGCAATCCATCTTGTTTCATTAACAAAGCATCACACATTGCGTTTATTGTAGTCGTTTTTATTTACTATGTGAAGAATTAAACATTTCGTTTGATGATGATTCTGACGGTGATATTTCGGTTTGGATTTTCATCCATACCACTGACTGTGAAATATTTTATCTATAAATACTGTGGAAATATTTCCGCAGTATGTGACTCGTGAAGTTCTGATTGTGTTCACTAGAGCAACTTTGTTTCGTTATTCGAAAACGCTGTCAAGTAAAGTACATTAACAATTCGTTGATCGGTCAGTATTACGGTTTCGGTTACGCCTGTTACTCCTCGTGAAGGAGCATAGGCCGCTCAGCAGCATTCTCCATCCAACCCTGTCCTGGGCAATCCTTTCCAGCTCCTTCCAGTTGTAATTCATCCTTTTCATATCTGCTTCTATTATCCGACGTAATGTGTTCTTTGGCCTTCCTCTTTTCCGCTTCCCTTCAGGATTCCAAGTTAGGGCTTGTCTCGTGATACAGTTTGACGATTTGCGTAATGTATGTCCTATCCATTTCCATCGTCTTCTCCTAATTTCCTCTTCAGCTGGAAGTTGGTTTGTTCTCTCCCACAGAAGGCTATTGCTGATGGTATCTGGCCAATGGATGTTGAGTATCTTGCGTAGACAGCTATTTATAAATACTTGTACTTTCTTGATTGTGGTTGTTGTAGTTCTCCAAGTTTCAGCTCCATACAGTAGAACTGCCTTGACGTTCGTATTGAAGATTCTCACTTTGATATTGGTTGAAAGTTGTTTTGAATTCCATATGTTCTTCAATTGTAGGAATGCGGCCCTTGCTTTGCCAATCCTCGCCTTTACGTCTGCATCTGAACCTCCTTGTCCATCGACGTATTAAGTCAAGCACTATTGAACGCTAGCATCAGCCTATTCAATCCTTTTTTTCAAAAAAAATCTTTTCACAAACACTTTTGACAATCGAACGTCTATGAATACTTATTTATAACTGTTGTATTACTAGAGGCCACAGGCAATATCCAAACCGAGAATTCAACAGTTGTTTTATGAGTACAACGAGTTTAAGGTTGTACTGTTACTTCCCCAATCGAAGGTTGTTCAAAGCATAACATTATTCTCAGACTGATATACCCATCTACATATATTGAGTGATATTTTAGCAGAGTTCTAACACTGGACAACATATCTCATAATGATGAAATAACCGCTTCCATAATGAGCACTCAGTTCATTATTCGTAGTGTGAAAGAACAAGTCTTGTAAAATATCACAGCTTTTATCCCTCCAGTTTAAGTAAACGTTTCTAAACTGATTACTTTTGCTTTCAACTCTTCTCTTTATCTAACATTGATTTCACAAGGAATAATTCGTTTACACAACATTTGTCACTGATGTTTTCAATGGACTAATACCTCCTGTAAGATCCATTTTGATGGTTTTGTGCGTGTGTGTGTGAAAATCCCTCCATGTATACATTTGTAGTTTGTTCCTATTGTTGTTCGTTTGGTTGTACATTATGTTATTCTTTTTGATTCCATTTGAATTGGTCATATTTGTATTTTATTATAGTTTTTATTTTTCTTATGCCTTCACTAAGTTTCCGTGTTTGTTGCTGAACTGCATTTATGTTGTGTTTACTTGATACTAAGTCTTGGCAGCAGCCATATTGGTTTGTTCCTACTTTTGATTATGTTGCTTGTATTGACTAGAATTTTGCAAGTTTTGATTGTGAATTGAAGCACACCTCCAGAATTCGAAACACTCTGTGTTATAAAGCAATCAAATAGTATCTTTTGAACGAAACTGTGCGTGATCTAACCAGACAGGATGGAATAACATTGATTTGTTGCGATTGGTAATTTTTGCTCATCCTTTATCCACTTCCTTATTTATTGTAAATTAGATTTGATTCATTGAACAATTATTGGCTGAGAAGCTGGGTGGTCATATTTGTTTAGGTATAATGAATTTCACAAATATCATTTTAACCAATCACATTGTTTTGCTTTCAACCGGACAAGGGCGCGTATCTAACCCACCTAGACAGTTATTCTTCAGTCCAAACCTTTGTTTGCATCTAGCACCTCCAAGAATTTGTACGTCAATTAAAATGAAGTATCTTTCAAATTATGAAAACAAAACTTATGTACCAGAAAATTTACGAAGTTATAGAAGGTGATTTAACGTCATTGAGATTTTCTCTAAATGGAGTGTTAGCGTTAATTCTGGCATTGAATGATGGAATATATAAGAGACATTTCTTTTCCTAATAAAACTTAAAACAGCATTAGAATAATTTCAGAGTGGGTATCCGTTGACATCGCAGTAATTTTCACGTTGGGATTCATGAGTATTATGCTAAACGGCTTTCTGATGAATCCAAGTTTTTAATGGTGGCCTAGCCCAGATTGATACATGGATTCAAGCATTGTCATATTACCATAGTAGTTTAATTTTACATCACCTAAGAGATACACTTGATGTTTTACGCTTCGCAACTCATCCAGTGTATGTAAATCTACCAGGAGTGTGACGAAACAGGAATCACAAAAAGACTTATTCTTATCATAAAATATGAAGTTAGTTGAACAATACAACTGAGATGGTCGATGATTGAAGTGCTTATTCTTAGCTGGAGAAAGACCATCTATGAATTGACAACCAGAACATTTGCTTCCACTTCATCTTCTTTTTAGCAAAGTAGTAATAATATGTAAAATGAGCATTCCACTCATCTTTGATGTCAGCCAAATAAACAACAACCAACATTCATATGACACCCACGATAAACAATAGAGAATACCATATTATTTATTGATTAATGAGATGCAATGAGGTGATCAATGATAAACAATGTATGATCATAGCTGATTTTACAAACAAAAAAGAGGTCAACACAAATATGTTTTTGTTCATTAGACAAACACGTTGTTTACACTGAGATAGAAGAAGGAGTAATCAATTTTACCTTGAAAATGTTATCGGATGTAAAAAGGAATGATGCTAGAACGTGGTGTTATGCTATATTCAATACGACGAATCAGACAGAATTCGCAATTTGTCTTTGCAAATCTTATTCCTCAAAGCAAGCGATATACAGGTTTGTGGTGTTTTTATGAAGTAGGTTTGGAAATTGACAAGTTCTCGTGATAATTCAATTCATTAAGTCACTTTATCTACGATTCAATGAATATTGTTTGAGATAGTAACTTAGGAATGCTAAAATAGTTAACTATTTCCAAACATTCGTACATTCACTCTCTGCCATACGACCAAAGCATTTGGCAACCTTGATAAAATATCACAACCATTGCATTGAATACTTCATTTGCGAATTTCCATCATTTGTCCAACACATTCTGTATGATTCTTCCAAAATACACTCTCTTTTTTCCCTTATATTTTCTTTAACTCGATCTTAGCCTTCTGCTGTCAGGTTTTCCACTTCCGATCGGTGTTACAAACTACTTAAATCGACGGACAAAAGCAGTATACACCAAAGCTTTAATGAAAAATATAAGTCCGCAAACGTACAGCGAGCAAGCATACGATGAAACAATTTGAGTGAGTGTGTTTGTGTGTGTCAGTCTGTGTGTTGAAAATCCATATATAACTTTTACAATTAATCGGGTGTGGATAAAATTTCGAATATCAGTACATTCCAACCAGTAAGAGGATAGCTTAAGGGTTAATGTACAGCGATGCATTCGATCATACACACTGAAATTAACATAATGAATTAATAGTCTGAAATACAATGAGTAGACAAGTGATACAGTGATCAAATAGGCTTGCCACAATATACAACAATCTATATTTCGCTACAATTCGGGACTCAATCACAGCTCTTATTCACATGCTGTTCTTCATTCAGACTTTCAGTCTTAGCATGTTATCTATGAAAATAGACAAATGAATCACAATTCAATCATAATTCGTGTTTTCAAACATCAATCTCCTTGATGCTGTTTATCTTTGTGTTTCATCACGCAGAAGTACATATTTCGGTTTTAGTTTTGAATAAATGAAATCTACACAGATTGAATACTGTGATATAGTGCTATTCACTCATTTAATAGTATGATTTAATCAACCGAATGTTGAATAGTAGTTCGATTCGTGTATCATTCAGAAGACATTGGTTTTATGCTGCTAATAAGATTCAGATTCTGTAAGTTTCCTTTTCCTTAACAGTTCTAAATGGAAATTAATCTGATCCTAACTGCATTCAGACCTCAGTATTGTAGATGTTCATGAATTGATCTGGCAGATTTCTTAGAAGGTCTATAGCGGTAAATATGATGAGGGTGCTATCAACATTGACGACTCGATGAACCACAAAGTAGCAAATATTATATTTATGAAGTGAAGATGAACATGATGTCCGTGATCATTATTATTATTATTATTATTATTATTATTATTATTATTATTATTATTATTATTATTATCATCATCATCATTATCATCATCATCATCATCATCATCCAAAGCATCATCATCATCATCATCATCATTATCATCATCATCATCATCATCATCCAAAGCATCATCATCATCATTATCATCATCATCATCATCATCATCATCCAAAGCATCATCATCATCATCATCACTATCTACTTGAAATATTAATGTAACACATTATGTTGACTATCATGAAACTGTTCTACCAATTACTTGATTTCTAACGATCACATTAGAATTCACTTGTTAAAATGATATTTGTAGTGTGGTGTCGAGTTGCGGTTGACTATGAACACCACCACAAGAAGACTACGTGCCAGTTAACCGATAAAATCCTTCGTAAACCAAATATCAGAAGGCAGTTGATGGCTGTAGTCGAGGTGCATTTGTTGGCGATTATACAAACGAGCACAGTAAAACAATCACTGGTACAATTGGTTATAATAATGATTGTTTCCATTAAATCCATCGCGTTCTCTTGATGATAGTAGGTAACTACATATTCCACATTGCAAACTGTAATCAAATATTGACATTATAGAGAGAAGAACTGTTGCTCAGAAGGTTGATGTTGTATCTTTTCAACTGACTTATTGATTAGTTGCTCTATAAACATGATCTCTTCCTTGTTCTAGGAGCCGAGTACTTGAATTCTCTATTGGAGTCCAGGCAATTCAACTTCACCACAGTCATCATACATCATCATTCATTGTTCATCTGTGTTGCTCAGTACAATCGCTTTGTAATTACTGTAATAATTCACAAATTGGTGTGGCAACTCGAACCGACGTACGTACGTACGAAGTTCTACGTTGTTACTGACTGACTGAATTCACATTGCAACTTCAAACAATGATACTTCCATGCATTTTCCGGTCAAACTATTCCATCACCAAATTTCTGTATATATAATTATAATATAACATTCTCATTCAACGCTATTTCAGGTTCAATAATTTTTGATAATCAAGGATTATCTTATTTATTTTACAAATAAATGTAAACCATGTGTTCATTAATCCCATGTGTGAACTGACTGATTACCTGAGTCATGTTTGTTTAATGCTTTTATTGTAGCGTCACCATCAGTTTTGTCGTTGCATATTATAAGGTTCAATTTTCAGTAATTGAAAGCAATCGAGAGGAGCCTATAAACGTACGCATCGTGTTAGTTGACAATGATCAAAAAGATGTATCTCTTAACTTTAGGGAACTAACGGTAGTTGTGAGATGAGAATCTAAGTCTCTTTCCATCTGGAACTAGACCATTAAATATTTCGAGAATTGTCTGAACTCTAAAGAATGAACGAACATAACATTGATGTCACAAATCTCACTCACACAGAGAGCTTAATTAGCTCGGTAGTAACTCGTATTCAGAATCTCTTATCCAAATTCTTTTTATGTTTATATCTTTCTCAAACTTCCCATTCATCTTTCCCAATTCACATTGATTCCTCTTCATCGTAATTACCTTGACTATACCGCATTTATTACATACTGAATTCACAACAACGTCGGTTATATCACTACTACTACTACTATTATTATTATTATTATTATATTGATAAAAACCTTACTACAACTCATTCAGACCTTCATTAACTGACTTGGCTTATTTACAAATCACACCATCTCCAAGTAGTTCTATAGAAACATATAACATTGGTCATTTTATTCATGCCTGCCTTATATTGTCATACCCTTTAGTTGTGTAAAATAGATTTAAACTATTTATCGAATGGTGTAGTTTACAAAAGAATCCTTACAGAGGCTCTCAAAAGTGAAATATCTTCCTCACCTCTCCTCTGACTTGCAAATTTACAACCATACTAATAAGCTCAACACTAAAGCTTCACTTGACATTTGAGAAGACAACAATCCATCAAATGAAATCCATCAAAGGAAAAAATAAATTTGATCGGAACAAAAGATACTACTTATTTGAGGATTATTTTTAAAACAACAACCATTTCAAACAAACAATATAAAAATTCCGGTAGGTGGGAAAAACAGTGAGAAGATCAAATAAAAGGAGAAATTGGTGAATGGAACAAAACAACAAAGATGACGACGATAATGACAACATTGACACATGCACACACACACACACATTCACACATGCTTATTTACATGTTACCAGATTTTAAAGATTGTTAGTGTTTACTAATTGCAGGCAAATATATCAGTGTCTGTGTGTTCAAGCTAAGAATGTCGACAACAACTTCACATCAAACTAAAGTGTACTAATATATGGAGTCAACCAGATTGGAGACTATTTGAAAAATCACGCATGATGTCAGGTCCTCCCTTGAACTGTGTTGCTTGATAAGTCATGCTGTTGCTACAATGTGGAATATTGGTACGTAAATGTTTATATGAGTCAAATGTATTGAGAAGAAAAGACATGTTTAGTCAGTAATCAAACAAGTTCAAAATATATCTTAACTGACCTGCTCTTTTAAGTGAAACTTGTATTTCATCATTTTGTTTCCTACAATGTTATATCATTGTGCTAGACCTGTCATTGTCTTGTATTTACGAAACGTCAATGTCGAAGCTGGTATCAGATTTACTTAAATGATGAACTATGTAGGTTTGTGTCTGGTTTGACGGTATATTATTGTTGAAGGAGTGTGTTATATCCGAGCGAAGATTAAATCACGAGTAACTTCTGAGGCATAATAATTGACTAATATGCATAAGCCATAACAATTGCCGGTGATTTTGGAGTTAATATTATTATTAACATTGAAAAAAACTGTCGACTTCTTCAGAACAGTTACAGTTAATATTACAACAGCATTAGCAATATTACCAGCAGATGTTAACAGAGTGTGAATGAAATTACGAATGAGGGAAATTGGAAGTGAAAATCGTCAGAATGAAAACAAACTAATGGCTCGATTCGATAATACAGGTAGTTATAGAGAAATATCAAAATTGTGGAAGAGATGCTCCTACTGAGGCAACGTATATTCTAATGCTCAGTTGTATTTGAAATCTGTTAAGTATTAGCTATATGGGATTACGAGTAATTGGACAGTTTATAATTCCATCACATTATAATGCAGTAGCATTGTAACTAGAAACGGATAGAGTGAATTTAGTTATGAAATAGAAATTTTCACTTGATAACTGTTGGTCAACAAAAGTAGTTTACCTAAATTCATTAAACGAGCAGGATCAGAGATGCAGAAGGATATTTATAAGTGGAGTAGTAACAATATGATAAATGGACTGAAGTTAGAGTAGTAAATCAACTGATGCATCGTACAAAATGTCTGCAGATCTCGGTTTTGTCTTCGATAAAATTGCTGTTGTGCTCAGTTGAGGTTTATTACGCGTGAACAGAAGAGATTTCATCATAAACTGGAACGATATTTATGTTCAGCAATCTCTGTGATTGTTTTGATATCAGCTCTGAATGGAACTGTTTTTCAAGGTAATTGACTTCACTGATAGCATATATTTTAAAAAAGATTCATACAACCAGTCAACTCCTACCGAAGTAACGTTACATTCTGCAGTAGTTACGTGACTTTTGTTACCGTCATTCTAAATACAGGTAGCGATACAAAGTCATCATTCATTATAATGCACATTCAATCAATTCCAGATCGATCACGACATAAGTTGACGACAATTCATGAGGAGATGATGATTGATGTCTGATAGTGGTCATATTGACATTCCAAATAATGAAAATTGACTACTACTTTTTTAGGACAATGATCTTTGAAAACATTTATCCTACTTGTAAATAGTTCAAAGGCATACATAAAAAATTAGTCACCAGCCTGAGTTTTGATTGGTATCATGAATCGATCAATGTTAGACCACCATCGAAAACCTAGAACACAGGATGGTCATTTCGTCCTACTACGAGACTCATCAGCACTGTTCATCCATGATCGCGCATTCGTGACTCGAACGCATGACCTTCGATCGTACACTCAAATCGGAGAAAGGTCACTGCACAACTGAATATTTACAAGAGACCGGTCACAGGCATATTATTATTATTATTATTATTATTATTATTATTATTATTATTATTATTATTATTAGTAGTAGTAGTAGTAGTAGTAGTAGTAGTAGTAGTAGTAGTAGTAGTAGTGATATCCATAGTTCATAGAAGTTTTCAATGTCACATTTTCTTCAGTATACGGTCCGATAGAACAACAGTTTGCATAATCATTATGTGAATAAAATGAACTCTTTGTACATAGAGAATTGTTTGAACCTTAATCTTCTGTTATAGATGGACCACATAATGAAACTACAACGAGATTGTTGAAGCCTTTCGGAATAGGCGTAGCACACGAAACAACAATATTACCACAACAAATACTATGCAAATCAAAAGATGAAATGACAAAAGAATAATAATCGAACATCATCTACAAAATAGATTATATCAATTGTGGAAATCACTGCATCGGACAAAGTGGATGCCCTCTTCATCTTCGCCTGTATGAACATGAATTATTGGTCAAAAGCCATAGCATATCTCAATTCTTGTCGTTGATTTCCGTCCAGGTGATGAGATATTTCACGCGTGCCTAATTCAAAGGAGATTAATTCAACTGTCGTTGTACTTTTAATCATAACTTCGATCTATACGTTGTACAGAATATATCGCAAGTAGTCTTATGACATTTCACCAGATTAATAGTGAGAAATTTAAAAGTGCACAAATGAGAAATTCCTGGCTGATTGATTATTTCACAACGATACATAGTTTCACTCATTTAGATATGAGGAGTAGTATGACCTGATTCTCATTCACATAGTGTTAGCTAATTAATAATCAATTAAAAGAACAGCATAATAAGAATAAATTGAATGGTTAAAATGTTGATTTACAAATTGATTAGACGTTTTGACTGAATACATTTGGCCAAGAAGGAACAGCAAAACTCAGGAATTGGTACAATTATTCGTCGATGATGTGTGATTAGGTTGGCGAATTCGCTAACACCTGAACCAACAACTCAACAGTATCATGCTCATGGCTATACTCGAGGGTTATGAACTTGATCTCATGTGAATTCAATGGTGTGTTCAAAATGGAGTCTGGAAACAAATTCACTTACAAATCATTTGGTTTTTGTTTCAACCGAATTGTCTGATGTAACTGTTGTTTTTGTCAAGACATGTACTGCTAATCAAGATAGACATCTTAAGCAACGAAAAGGAGTATGAGGTTTATGGAAGAGAAGATCTAGATGACTTGAATGATGACGATCTAATTGAAAACAATATTGTTTGCTTACCTGTGTTGTTCTAATTTTCACAATGGGAGTCTTGAATATTGAGGAAAAGTAATACATTTTCCTGTAGTGTCATCATTTTTATTGACATTTTGCCACAATGTTGCTTTCTATCCTTACTGTAGGTCTCTCAGATATGAAATAAATCATAATTATCCTATTCCGATGAACCCGATTTTTCTTAGTTCCACGCATTTACTCTGTTTATATTCTTTACTTTTCAATCTTCCATTTTTGTATTCGAACAGGATCAAACTCGTCTGAAGGTGAAGAGAGACATCTTAACCAACCTTCATTTTGATGTTGTTGTTGTTAGTAGTAGTAGTAGTGGTAGTAGTAGTAGTAGTAGTGGTAGTAGTAGTAGTAGTAGTAGTAGTAGTAGTAGTAGTAGTGGTAGTAGTAGTAGTGGTAGTAGTGGGTTTTCACCACTAGTTGTTTTGCTTAATCATTTACAACAGGTAAACATTCGTTTCTTCGGATGTGAAAATGGACTACTTCAACATCATATAAGTAGTATACGTTTATCTGTCTAAATGATATGCAATTTGTTTCAGTAGATTTTGATTTTCTTTCATACGTTTTTGTTGAAAAAGCTTTGATGTCCAATTTATTCACTTATAATTTGGTCGTGGTTGATTTCTAAAAGTGTGCCTACAGGCTGTCGTAATTGAATTTCTATCATGAACAATAACGTGACCTAATTAGAAATCTTTTTTGAATCACCAGTCATCATCTACACTTTTACGATTCTAGCGGTTTATTGCTTGGTGTATGTATCAAAGCTAGATTTGTGACATACTCAATCGTCACCAGTAAAAACGCCGCTTTCATCGTCGTTCTCCATTTCGATGATCCACTTAAAATTTCGGTGCTTAAATGTCGTTTATCGAAAGTCACTTAATCAAACTATTTCAACGAAGTTATCGGAATGATCATCTACATTTCGACTTATTATACGACATTTTGGATCGTCAACCATTCCAGCATTTTCATTCAAGCATGCCCAGTTCAATAATTCTACTCGATAGTGGGAAACTTCACACAATGAAAATTGTTTATATTTGCCTCACTGTTGTTTCAGAATATTCCTTAACATATATCCGTAGATGTTGAAGAGGTATTGGTATGATTAGAATGAATCTTATTTAGAAAGTGGTTTTGTCTACTCCTTCACAGAATAAGACTGTTTATTGCATTCACCTTAATTGGTGAGGTTGCCGGTCGATGGTGACCCGCTGGTGCTGACTATGGAGCTTACCAGATTGTTACGCCTTGCGCTGCCGAATCTGGATGAGGAGTCGGGAGCATAGTTGCTGGCGTCGCAGTTTATCGGGAGCATGCCTGCCACCGTCTCCCAACAGCTGAAACTAGTGAACGCAACGCAACCAACGGATATCATTGAACTGGCGAAGGTGACTCTTCAGCCGATGACGCGAGCAGTAGCTCCGGTCGGGAGATAAATAACGTCAAGGAGAAGATTGAGGAGATGGAGCGTGAGATTCCAACAATACGAGTGAACCATAAAAGGAACGATAAATGTTACGTTTGTGGAGGGACAGATCATTGGAAGATAAACTGTCCAACAAGACGAAGACGCAGATATTTTGGACGTGACAACGAGTGTTCTTTCTATCCTGAGTATCTGGGGGCTGTTGCGTTAGTAGACGGAGGAGCAGTGTATGCGAGAGTGAACATAAATGAACGAGATTTAGTTTGTCTGATCGATACGGGGGCAGCAGTATCGTTAATAGGCAAAGAGCAATGTAAGAGACTCAGGCCGTGTACATTAGCTGTCCACACTACAAGAGGCCATATATTAGAGGTGTTGGGGGCATCTAACAGCATCGTAAAAGTGAGAGATGATGAGATAAATTTTCCGTTCGTGGTAACCACAAGCTTATCGAGACCGATATTAGGAGCACATTTTCTATGGGAAGTAAAATCGATAGTTGACTTAAGAAGCGATAAGGTGGTCACAAAGTATGGTTCACTGCCAATACACGAAAGTAGCGAAGTGGCTGAAATAAGAGTGGCAGCGGATGTCTCGTCGAATAAACCAAACATTGCCGAGTTATGCAAAAAGTACGCGAAACTGTTCACTGGAGATGGGGAGTGATATGTCGTGTGGATTGAACGCTATATTAGTTTCCTAAGCTATTCCGGTAACCCGCAGTCTACAACTACACAGCGACTTGAACACCACAGAGAAGACACAAGTATGAGAGAAAATACTTTGTCCCAAGGTTCATTTTATTACAGAAAATATAGGGTTTTAATAATATATCTAAATGTCCTTGTGTCGCTGAAATATTCTGGAACGCTACTAAACATAGTAGCACTGTAGTAGCCAACCAATCCGCATGTGACGTTTAGCTACCTTGATATTTTTGGCCAAAACTCCAAATGAACGCTGATTGGACGAAACACTTCTTAGTGTTTCTTGATGCTTGCTTGTCTTTTGCGAGCGACTTCTGTATCACCCTGACATCTCCCCCATTTCAAAAAAGAAAACCTCTTCTCCGGGTCTACTTGCAGCTTGATACTGGTTTCGATATCTTGGTTTATCGTATGCCAGTATGCGTAACTTCGAGCCAACGCTTTCATCTTATTGATACCAGGATGACCGCTGTGGAATCGTCTCAGAATCTTATAGCGTAAAACTTTTGGGACAATAATTCTGTCACCAAACATAATACATGAGTCGACCATCATAAGTGAGTTCCGTCGGCGAAAATATTGTACCATCTCTCCTTGAAAACGACGGCTCGGCCACTTGGTGAGAAGATAACCACTAACTTCTCTGAAAGTCTTGTCACTTTCCGTGGCTTCTTTGATAGCCATCAACTGCGTCTTCCAAAACTCGATGTACTTCTGTTTCCGTCCCGATTGCTGCCACCAAAGTGCCTTCTTCCCGTTTTACTTGTGAGCCAATCAGTCTAGATAAAGCGTCAGCTTGTCCAAAATCAGTAGTGGGCTGATACTTGGTCTTGAAGTCATGGCTGGTGACTAGCAATGGAATGCATGATGTGCTTTTCTCCTTATTTGTGACTTGTCGGCTGAATATACCTGCATCCAATAATTGATGTTCCCTCCGTGACTCGAACTCTGTATCATTCCGTTCGAGCGCCATCGTGTTATTCACTTAGTTTGATTTGTGTCTTCAAATAATCGAAATCTACACAGATTGAATATTGTGATATTTTGCTGTTTACTGATCATTTAATAGTCTGATTTAGTCAACAATATGTTGAATGATACTTCGATTCCCGGAAAATTGTATCATTCAAAGAGTATTGGTGTAATGCAGCCAATGTGATTTAGGAGAGTAATCTCTCACCAAAGTCACAGTATTCTATAAGTTTCTTCATTCTAATAATTCTAAACTGAAATTAATCTGCTTCTAATTGCCGACAGACTTCAATATTGTAGAGATTCACGAACCGATCTGGAAGATTTCTTAATAGGTTCATGGTGGCATTTATGATGAGGATGCTTTCAAAAATGGCGATTCGATCTACCACAAAGTGGCAAATATTTAATTATAAAATGAAGATGAACATGAAGTCCGGCTTCAGTCACTTCTGTTGGACATTACTGATTGATTTCTTTACTACTTATACAAATATCAGTAGCTTCAAATAGTGCATCAAGACACCATAATTCAATACATGGTCTAATGCATACGAATGTTCAGATTAACTCAACTATACCATTAAGATGTCGCGTTCATCTTCAGATTCAAAATGACCTTAAGGAAAATCATTCAGAATATTAAGTGAGGTAGTGCAGCATACATGTCAGAAGTTTCTTCATCATCATCTACCTCGCCAGGAGCAGTTTGGCATGTTATCAA